TTAACAGCAAAGCAAATCAAGCTACTTGGTAGAAGTGAAAAAGTAATTACCTATCTCAGTGCACGACCCCTATTGTTGCGCCGTGGCGCAAAATGAGCGTTGTCATTTGCAAAATGTTAAAAGGCACTGTAGCGCCGTGCACATTTTCAAAGATTTGCCTTGAAATTCTACGTTTTGGAAAATTGCAAATGTGTTTGTTTGTTTGTTTTTTGGACGCTAAGTGCAGTCATCCCTTTCATTCTCTCCTTGAGCGGTCCTTCTTTGGAATTTTGCAAGGCTCATTCAGCAATTCTCTTGGCGTACATGGTCCGAGGAATCTTCGCCATGAATATGGGAAAAAGTAGATAGTGTAGCGTAGCCTATATGTATGCGTGTGCACTTAGAAGCGAACGTTGACATCCCAACCCATCCCACCCCACCCCTCTGAAATGTATGCGAGTCTGTACAGTTGTCGCTTCCTTGTCACAGGTGCAACTTGGCGTTGTCATGTTCCTGAAGGCTCAAGAGGGTAAGAATCCCTCAAGAGAGGATCAGGTGTTACCGTTACAAAAGACACTAGTTGCCTATGCCCCTACGGTGTACGTACTAGTCACTCTTTCCGTGGTGGCGGAGCGAGGATCCTGGAAGACGCAGGTGAGTTCCTGTCCTTAGACTAGGTTAGAGCAATGGACTGGATTGATGACTGGGAAGAGCCTGATACTGATTTGGCTTATGAGCCACAAGCGTTTGCCAATAGGCATGTGGGAAGAGAACCAGCAGCAATAGCTATGACAACGCAAGTGACAACGAAGAATAAGAAAGGACGTCTTGGTGTTCCTATGCGGATGCCATTGATGACAAGTGTGGCATCACAGAGCTGGAAGATGAGAAAGGAGGACCAGCATTGAGAAACCGCCTCGAAGGAGAAGCAGCGGTATACAAGAGAATTTTGGACAGAGATGCGTTGAAGGCTAATGAACAGCCAGGAGCTGGAGCGCAGTACTTCAAGAGCCAACTTCGGCCATGCCTCATGAGAAGTGCAACCAACGTGCTCCTCTACAGGATGCACTTCGTGAAGTTCAGTCGTGGATCAGCTGACATGATGAAGCGGGTGACCAGATTCCGAATTTTATTCAAACGGACTGTGCAGTTGGATGGACATCTTGGATCCTGCGAGTCAATCACATCCAGAAGTACAAAGACAAATTGCAGCAGAAATCATTCCGCCTTCAGAGCGTATTTAAGACATCGTCACCCACCCGAACACGAACGCAAGTGATCGAAATATGCATATTCATGAGTTTCCACTGTCAGGGAATCTCGTGGCACTGCTGATGCTCAGTTTAGCAGACCTTTCCCAAGATCAGCGAAGCGCTTTGACTGGTCTTCTGTTGGCAACGCCGGAGGAAGAAGATCCTTTCTAAACCGCTCAAAGTCAGTCGCACTGTGTAACGTAGCGTAGAAGAGTTTCTAATGTATTATAGGTGCGCACGTTGAAACGAACGTTCACATCCCCACACATCCCTCCTCACACCACCCCGCTCAAAGTCAGTCGCGCAAAGTAGCGTAGTATCGAAGAGTTTCTGACGTATGGGTGTGCAATTGGAAATCCCATCCCATCCCACCCCACCCCACTCAAAGTCATATGCATTGTGTAGCGTAGCGTAGAAGAGTATCGAATGTATAGGCGTGCACCTAGACAGCACGCAGCATTCAAGAAGAAACTGTTACAAGAAAAATATGTCATATTTCACCATATGCGGGAAGAAACATGAAAATCGGAAGAAAACTTCCCTACGTGCAACATTGCACGACAAAAAACATGAAACTCGGAAGAAAGCCACACGGTGTGGCAAGGGTCGGGGTCCAACTACCTAGATATATCCAAACAAAAGTAACAGTCTTGTTTTGAAAGTCAATGGTGCAGATGTGTATACACAAATTCAAGTAGATACATCATCAGCGTCAGAATCCAAATATAGTTGAAAAACTTAACCTGAACGTGTGATTGTCCTTTGCACTGTTGGCATTTTGGCCTGGGACCATAGGATCCTCGAGCCTTCACCTTTTCGTGCCGCTCGCTTTGGACATGGCGCGATCGTGTTTGCGGTAAGGCTGCCGCATTACCAAGAATAGTAAAAGCCTGCATTCACTGCACGCGTAAGTGTTATATAGCTCAAGTGTAGATGTGTTGGCGGTAGATGCAGTGGGATTCTTTGCAAAGTCTGTGAACACAAGTGCATTCAACGCAACAAACCTTGGACACGCAATGGTAGCGCTGATGGCTGAGGCGCCAAACTTGGCGGACCGGCGGTCGCTGGTGGCAGTGCGATCGATTCAGGAAGTGCTTCATCGGGAACAGCCCAATAGACCGGCTTAGTTAAAAAAATACTTTTTAGATAATTCCTAAAATTTTAACTAAATTATGTTTTAGTTAAATTTTTGGAAAATAGTTAAATATAACTTTTAATTGTTTTCTAAAAATTTAGCTAAAATATGATTTAACTATTTTCTGTAAATTTAACTATTTTCTGTAAATTTAGCTAAAACAAATTTAACTATTTTCTGTAAATTTAGATATGGAAACTTCGAACAAACTTCGAAGTGCCCCCGGTGAAACTTCGAAGCGATATGTTTGGAAATTGAAAGCTTTGTGAGCTCCATGTTTGCGCAACTTTTGTGAGCCCATGTGCAGGGTTGCACGGTGCTGTCTTGGCTTTGGACACACAGAGTTGCAAGAATATACAAAAGTTGACTTAAAGATCAACCGTTTATAGTGAAGAAAGGGAACACACAATACATCTTTGTTCTTCTGAGACTAGTCAGGCCCTCTCTCTCTCACATGAGAGAAGAGTCTTTGTATAGAGCACTCTCATGGTGGCACTCTCTCACATGGTGGCACTCTCTCATGGTGGCACACTCTCCCAAGGTGGTTTTCACTCATTGTCTCTCAAAGTGGTCAAGTATGAAAGTCTTGCACCGACACTTCCATTGTCACCTGTATGACGCATTTTCAGCGCACGCATGCAAACAGTTTTTCCCGAAAGCATTGCGAAGGGTTCTTCCGGAAAATCCTTTGAACACTGACACTTCGACACTTACACTTAGACACACCCAGACATTGACACTTTCACCACACTTGCAGGATAACATGAACGCTATACGTAGCCCTGTGTAAGTGGAAGAGCGAAAGCTGTCAAAGTATGCAAGTGATGAGTATGCATGCAATGAGTATGCAAGCATGCAATGAGTAGGCAAGTGAACTAGCACGGGAGATGTCCTAATGAAAAAACATTTCCCCACTTTAAAAATTCTCTCTTAAAGGCGGAGGGTGGGACGAACAGCGTCAACCGAAAGTGCAACCCTCTGCGGAGATCGTGCGTGTCGAGTGCGCGAAATGCAGGCGAGAGTGCGATTTGCCGGCTGCCCGTGCAACCCTCTGCGGAGATCGTGCGTGTCGAGTGCGCGAAATGCAGGCGAGAGTGCGATTTGCCGGCTGCCCGCGCAACCCTCTGCGGAGATCGTGCGTGTCGAGTGCGCGAAATGCACGCGAGAGTGCGATTTGCCGGCTGCCCGCGCAACCCTCTGCGGAGATCGTGCGTGTCGAGGGCGCGAAATGCAGACGAGAGTGCGATTTGGTACGCAACTCTAGTACGCAGAGTAGCTGGGGAGCTGGAAGCTGAGAACTGGCGACGTGGTAGTGCGAGAGTAGTACGCGGAGTAGCTGGGGAGCGGGAAGATGAGAACTGGCGAGCGGGTAGTACAACTTGAGGGCGTGGAGTATCTGGGGAGCTGGGAGATGGGCACTGCGACTTTGTAGTACAACTGTAGTACGCGGAGTAGCTGGGGAGCTGGAAGCTGAGAACTGGTGAGTGGGTAGTAGCTGAGAACTGGCGACTTTGTGGTACAACTTTAGTAGTGCGCGGAGTAGCGGGGGAGCTGGAAGATGAGAAGTGGCGACTTGGTAGTACAACT